TCAGGAGTCCTGTATGTGCCGTGGAGCGTGGCTTAGCAGGACTCAGCCTACTCCTCCAGCACAATGTGCTGTATCCCGGTATGCGCTGTGTGGAGTGAAGACCTCTTCCACCAGGTTTGGAAGAGGAGCATTGTCTTGACAATACCTTGATGATATGGTAAAATAATTATGTTCTCACTAACCTTGAATGCAAGCAAGCTGTATTCAAGGTCTATAAATAATCATAATAATATGGGCATTCTTTGATGATTCTACTAACAGCACGAGGTTCTTTATTCTCTAACTGGCCTTGGAGTGCCCTCCATGTACCTAATACAGGATGTAAGAGTAGCTCACATTACCGTTAATTTGAGTTACCAACAATTTGTCTGTATTATGCAAATATAATGATTGTCAGTAATAAATGTTTATATACTCACAGATTATCCTAAGTGACCATTTTACCACAAAAAGGGAAAGGAAAATTACTGAGATTTGTTGCTTTCTGCTCCTAGTTTTGCATTAAGGTTGAATTTGGCTTTTCCCAACAATTCAGAATGAAAATTGTTCTGTCCATAATGATATCAGGTTTGAGTTTCTGTCTAACTTTCTTTTTTCAGAAAATATACAGCTTATTTTTCTATTAAATTAAAAACACAGAAAATTCAAAATGCTAGGTCGGTTCTGGGGTGCAGCCCAGCCCCACTGTCCTTTTTAATTCACTGAGAGAGAGCTGGTGGGTGGGGTATTCTGGAAAACTCTCGACAGGAACATCCGTCCACATTGAAAGCTGAATGGAAATTTGGTCCAGATGAGAGCAAGTTAAAATATGGATGATGTTTTCAAGGAAGTGAGGAATAAATCGAGAAAGGATATGCGTGGTAGATAAGGTCAAGAGCAACTTTCTAGTGTCTAAGAGGGAAAATCCATCCTGGGAAAATCTGCTAATGACTGTTTTTGGTAAAGGTTATAGTGAGTAAGATTTAGTATAACTTTACATAACATCTTTTGAAGCATTTTAGTAAATCATCTAGTGTTGTTGTCGTTGATGATTTCTTTTCACAGTGTCTCTTGTTAGGTCATATATGAATGAAAGAAAGAATAATGTAGTCTCAGACCTCTTTCCATGGACCACCTTAAGTTAGTACTTTCTTCAACCACATTTTTATTATGGTAAATTCCCCATAATATTTGATGGAGACCACCCAGGTCAAAGGTAAATGCTTTTGTGACTGTGATTTTGGAAATATATTCTTCCTGGCCTCGGATACACTATTAATTACAGGTTCAAAAATTCTCTTCTGTTTCATCTGATAGGGTAGCCTTGTTTTATGTCACCTTAAAATGAGGCCAAGCTAAGTACTGCAAGATATAAAGTAGTCAATGGCAGTTTTCCATTTCTGCAGGGACAAAGAAAGCCTGGCTTAGGTAATTGCATTGTAACGCTCAGTGTGGCTGAATTGCTTGTCTCTGCTAAGCTCCCTTCTATCTTTTACATTCACAACATACGTCTCTCCTGCATGTAGAGCCAAGACCCAGCATAGCCACTTGTATAATTTGTATGATTAATGGACTCTGGATCTGGCCTGTTACTTGTATTGTAGATCTATAAATAATCATAATAATAATAGGCATTGTTGCATGTACATTTTTATATCTGTCTGGTTCTCGGTGGTTTTATATCATTCATTCACTAGAACAATTATGAATCTTTAACCTCAAGGCAGGACACACAGTTCCAATTTGGTACGTAAATAGTACATCAATTTACAGTGAGATGGAAGAGGGGCACAGTGTAGTTTAGAGAACATAGATAATAGATTAAACCCGAAAACAGGGAGGGGTCATGTATCAAGCGAAGGAACAGATTACAGAGAAATTGAAAAGAAATGTCAAAAATACAATAAAAAATGAATCAAAATTTTTTTAAAAGCCAAGTCTTCAGAGTACGGTTAAACTAGCACTACTGACAAACAGAAGTACATATTCACCAGTGTAGCATAGCATACTGTTTAACAGAAAACTTTTTTATAAGTGGAAAAATTACATGCTAAAATAACAATAAAAATATAGTGTAGTAAATACATAAACCAGGAACATAGTCATTATTATCATTATCAAGCATTAGGTGCCATACATAATTGTATGTGCTGTATTTTTATACAACTGGCAGCGCAGATTTGTTAATATGAGCATCACCGCAAATATGTGATTAATGGAGTGCCCTGTGAGATTATGACAGTTATGATGTCTCTAGTTGATAGTAATTCTTCAGCTCCACTAAAATCTTATAAAACCTCAAAAAAAAAAAAAACCCAAAAAACAAAACAACTGTGCTCATGCCTAAAATTAGATGTGAGGAATTTTTTTCTTTTCTTCTATGAATCTGAGCGGCCTCTATGTGACTGCAGGTGCCTTGGGGACCAAGGGGAATGGTAGGCATTGGAAATGAAGGCTCCTCATCTTGGAAGATATATTTGCTTGTGTTGGGTCAGCTCTGGGTAAATATTCTAGATGACTGATATACAAAAACCTAATCATTTATGGGATTGTTTACACACATTTAAAGTATTTCCTGCCAGTCTGTACCCTCTGTAGATTGTATAACATTAGAGTCGAAGGATTGCTTTGGAAAGGAATGTTCTAAATAAAAGCAAATTTGTTTTCCCTGCGTCTTGTCTCTACACAGCTCTGTCTCACACATTCTATATGGTGCTGATCAGATGTTTCTCCTTCATGAAGCCTTTTATGGGCAGGAACTGGACCTCATTTATCGGTTTTATCTTTCACAGTGCTCACCACAAATATTTGTTGAATAAATGAAGCACACAATTTACAGAGAGAGTCTGTGATGCTTACAAATACCTTCTTTAAGATATTTAATGAACTGATAAAAGTACTGGCATTTGATTACTCATTCATATAATAGAAGTATTTTACCTACTTACCTACACACACACACACATGCGCGCGCGCGCGCACACACACACACACACACACTTAAGGGAAACCATTAAAATGATATAATTGTTGCTAGTTACTGAGTTTATGACTCATCTGTGCTTTCCCTTGCATATATATTATACTCATTATGTAACAGCAGGAAGTAAACTATGAATGTTTCTATGCCTGTCACAGGTATCTTAGGCCCTGAAATGCTGTGTCTGAAACAACAGGTGGGGTGACTTAGGTATATTCCTTTATATCGTTCATCTTGAGTTTCTTATGGAGTAGATGCAAAAATGTCACATTTGCTTTTCTGTTATTAGACAAAATTTATTTGCTTAAGTGCAGGAAGATACATACTTCCCTCCATTGGCACAAAGCATTGTTTGCATGAATGTAAAATTCTCTTAAACATATTTATATGTATATTTCTGAACATTTCTGTTAATGACATGCTTCATTGTGTAACAGGTCTAATCCTATTAAAACGTCCTCATAGAAAACTTGATAACACTAATGATTATATCTGGGACATCTCCAAAGCACATTTATTGCAATCAGTATCAGTATTTAATTCTACAAATGGCAATACTGCAAATGAAGAATAGGATGTGTTTACCATCCTATAGCATCAATTATTTGGACTGGATCATGAAGTAGTTATCAATATTCCACGTGAAAGAAGTTTCAGTAATTATACATTTAAAAATCAGTATTTGTACACAGTTTTCTGAGATACTGACCTCTTTCCAGACATCATGTCGTGGGTCCTCAAAACAATCCTTCTGAGAATAGTTATTATCTCTTTTAATACATAAAAGGGAGACATGGGTTTCTAAGAGGGGATTGGCCTTTAGGCAGCTGGTGAGGGTGTTGGTGATTTGAATCCTGTGCTCTTGACTCCAAAGCCTGGACCGGAGATGTTGGTCCCTGCCCTTGCCCCTCCACAGATCAAAGCGCCCACTGCCTGATCCCATTTCTCCCCTGCTGAACCAGACAGAGACCAAGAATCCTTCTCAGTGTAAACAAAATCTGTCTGCCCTCCTGCCCTGTGTTCTTTCTAAGTGTACTTTGCTGGGCATTAGCGCAGATGAAATACAGTCCAAGCGTGCACAGTACGTCACCACCCACCGCAATGTGAGTCTGCAAGTTGTCCTTGGTTGAAGGAGGCAGATTTGTGTGAGTGGCTTTGATGTGTTAATCTTCTCCAGGAATTTAGGTCTGCCTCCTTGGGGACCCGAGAGGTCTTCTGCTCAATATCTACTCCTTTTATTTCTTACTTCACAAGGACTTGACTCTAATTGGCCAACTTGGAGTGTGCTGAGGTGACCTATTTCTGTCTGGGATAACAAAAACATTCCAGATGACTGACGTCTTTTGCTGGAGACAGTTTGCCCTGACTCTAACCCTCCCATTCTGCTTGCCAAGCAAAATGATCAGTGACAGGCCTTAGCACCAACCTTTATAAATTCCATCCATATTGTTTTCTTATTTTCTTGTAAAAATAGCAGACTTGTCCCAGTCCCTAACTTCTATGACAATGAATGAGATTTAAGTAGATGCTGAACACATGTGTCCCAGCTTCAGCGAGTCAGTGGAAGCAGTTGTGGGATCTGATTGCATAAATGCATGGAAGTGATGTCTGTCTTGGGGCAACAGAGCTCCTTTCGAGCTCTTGAGAGAGTGGTGCTCAGACACAGAAATACTGATGGAATGATCACACACGGTCAGGTGGAAGGGTCAGTTTTGCCCTGCGTGGAAAATGTCCCAAAACTTGGTTATTTGGATTTTCTGCTTTGTAACCACAACAAAGGCCTCAAGAAAGAGAGCGTGAGCCGGAGAGCCCTCAGAAGCTCTAAGAGTTTGAAAAATGTAAAGCCATTGTTACTGGTTTATGGTTTTTATTTGCCTAAGTAAATATCCTAGCTTATTCAAATATATGTATTGAGTTTTTTTTTTAAAAAAAAAAATGCAACTGACATTAAGGAACGTGATCCTATCTAAATGAATGCAGCCTTACAGAATACTGCTGAATATGGCCTGAATACATTGGGAAACCACACTGCTGTGCACAGTTGCAAATGCGAAACGTGGCTGATACAAAGATGACATTTTCCAAAGATGTCTCTGTCTTGTGACTGTGTGTTGTGCTGACTCTGTCACTAAAGAGCCAGAGCACATGGGTGGTCTGTTAGCACTAGTGGTTATTGGTTCTGCCCTAAAAATGTGACTTGGCTTCTTACATTAGATTTCTTCAGAGTTGGACTTGAGTGCAAACATGTACACAGAGATTAGCAGCTTTTTTCCTATATTGGCAGTGAGCAGAGACACAAAGAACAGGATTAAAATTTCAGTCCAAGGGAAGTTCAACATTAGGAAGAACTTCCTAATTTTAAACACTCACTAATATTCCCTAAAAAAAGATTTTACAAACCTTCTGTCCTCTGTTCACGTCCCTTCCCTTTCCTCTTCTCTCCTGTTACCCTTTTCTTTTCCTTTCTTCAAAGTCTCCCCATTTGTAAAATGGAGAAAATAATAATACAGGGTGGGGCAAAAATTGGTTCATACTTGTGAGTATGCAAAACACCCAATTTACTCTTGTATTTGTATTCATTAATTATTGTATTATTTTTCATATGAACAACTGTAAACCTACTTTTGCCCCACCCTGTACATTTGATCCTTGTTATACACGGATTTCATATTTATAAATTCGCTACTCTCTAAAACCTGTATGTGACCACCAGATCACTGCTTGTGGTGCTTTCATGCCCTTCTGCAGACGTGCACAGATTGGTGAAAAATTTGAGCCACTCGATATGCATGTTCCCAGTGAAATTGAACAAGACCCTCTGTCTGCTTGTTTCAGCTCTCATGCTGTACATAAGTGTCCTTTTCTCTGTTTGGTGCCACATTTTTCACATTTTTGTACTTTTTGTTGGTGTTTTCACTGTTCAAAGTAATCCTCCAGTATGGTTTGGTTCTGTGACTTGAGTGGGGAAACAGGGAGACAACATCCAAGAACTTGTGTGCACAGCAGATCGTGGAAACAGCTCTGCTGCTGGCTTTATTGCCACTCACAGAATGACCTGAGGTGACTGTGGCAGACAAAGAGGTTCCCTGGGTAACTGCCCAACAGCAATCGGTCAGCCCCTCTGTTACTTCCAAGGCAGTGGAGTCACCAGGACATGTCCCAGACCCTAATTCTTCCCAGACTGCACTGGGCCAGGGCCTGGGCACCTGTATGGGGCTTCCTGGATGAGATGTGTTTGTGCACATATGTGGGAAAAGCCCAGGGAGTTGTAGAATTACATGGAGGAGAATTTAGGGGGTGCCATGTGGAGTCCGAGAATATGAGACACATAGTTTATTACTGTTGATGTGATCCCAGCTTTCCAACAGTCTGTGGGCCCATCAAAGTGCGGATTACATTGTTAAGATACAGAAATGCCTGATTGCTGCTCTCTTCTAGCTGTTCAATCCTTACACTAGTCCTTTTGAAAGTTCTGTAAACCCTTGAGATTAGAAATGTAGCTCGTCCCATATAGTGAACTTGTGAAATCACCACTAGGTATCAGGTAATAATAGATTTCTGTCTCCTCACTAATAGTATGTTCATTTTTGCAATGGGTTTGTCATCTTTTTCTTATTTTCCAGGGCAAGGCTTCCTCACTACTGTATTTTAAAAGCTAGCTCATCAATATTATTCCAAGTAAATTTCATAGTATATTTTAAAGAGGGAAGGGGTGGAGAAACTAATGTGACCCCTTTGCTTAAAATCCTTCATGGCTCCCCAGGATGCTAAGACTAACAGGCTAGGGTACAAAATGTAAACAAGTGTCAAAAAGCCAGTGGTCAATATAACAAAATAGTCAATGCACTATTTTCGAAAAATGTAGTAGGCAAACTATGGTTCACATCTGGGTTTGTCAATGAAGTTTTGACCCACACTCTTTATGTTTCTGAGAGGCCACCCCCATAGGCCTCACTGTGCCCGTCTTCCTCCCGTGTTAGACTCCATTCACACTGACGTTCGTGGCCACTTCCCTTTCCGGAACCCACAATGCCCCTTCTCCTCAGGCCCTTGCTCTCTGTTTGATACCTCCCTGGGCCGCCCCTGCCCGTCCTTCAGAACTCACTCAAGCGCCCCTTCTCCGGGCCAGGCTCCTCCTCTCTGTCCTCATGAAGTGAGTAGGCTGCCTTGAGAGCATTTGGCAAGTAGACGTGCATTGGGTCATTTTGTTTATTAAGATCTAACCCCTCCAGTTGATTTTAAGTTCCATAAAAGTAGGACTGAGTTCATTTATAACTCTCATAGCACAGTGGCTGGATTATCAGTGATTAATGGGTAATTAACGAGTGTTTTTCTAATATGTTTTCAGTGTACCCCATGACATTAGATCTGGAGACTTTATTTTTTAGATTCTTATTAAGTGTATTGGGGTAACACTGGTAAATCATATTATATAAATTTCAGGTATACAACTTTATAATACAACATCAGTTTTACCCTATTGTGTGCTCACCACCCCAAATCCAGCCTGGGTCTGGAGACTTCTAATGGTTCTTTTCCTGGTGGCAGGTGTAACACCACCATCGCATTCACCCTCCGTGGAGTTCTTTCACATCTTCACAGTAACTCCGGCAGGTAGCTTGATTAGGTTGTGTCATTATCTCTGTTTATAGCTGTCTCAAAGAAATCCTTTAGAGGAGGGAGCATAATGCTAAGAAGAAAGAGGCCATCACTCTACAGATGAAGAAAATGAATCTGTCTCGGAGAGGTTAACTGAACTCAGTTGCCCAGGAACCTGTAGCACAGCAAGGACTCATCCTGGGTTTTATGACTCTGGTTTTGAGTCACGGGTTTTATGACCTGGGTTTGTTGTCTTTCCACCCCCACTAAGCTCGCTCTATCAGGAGATTCCCCTTTCAGTTTCCAGCAAAGAGACAAAAGAGGTTAGGAACCTTTTCTTAGCATTAATACCTTGCCAATTTCTAGATCTCCATTTCCTTTAATCCCTTAAAACATATAATTTGCCTGTCTTTGCTCTTAGAGGCTGAGGGTTTGGTGTAAACTCTGCAGTGAATCAAAGGCCATAAAATAAATAAATATATGGCAATAAAAGGCATCTTCTGGTAGAATATAATTTTCTTTCTCTTGGTCATTCTCTCGGGTTTATTTCATCCACTGCACCAGGAGGGCCTTAATTGGAACTGACTCTCTTATTAGCCTTCAAGTTAAATTGGCATCCACCGAGGCACTGTCTCCTATTAGTCTTGTTTGCTTGACAGACCTTTGCAGAAGTTAAGCACAGACTGAAGTTGTCATTAGTGTAAGGACCTAACACTTGGTCTGAATGACTCCATGTGGCCACAGTGGAAGTCCTTGTCTGCTGTTTGCACTTCTGCCTGAAGCCTGCTGTGGTAAAAGGTCAGGCCTCAGAAATATCCCCTTTGTAGTGATCCCTCTAATGCAAGGCCACATCCTTTCCCACAGAGAGCCTGCCCCAGAGAGGACCGGATGCTGCCTCACTGGGTTTCCATTCATTCACTCAACACACATTTACTGAGCATCTACTATGTGCTTGGCATTTCTAAACTCTGAGGTTAAATGGCAAATAGCTCAAAGATTTCTGTCCTCTAGGGGTTTGCATTCTTATAAGGGAAACACTCAATGGACAAATAATCACATAACTTTTATTTCCAATGCAAGCACTATGGATAAAAATCGACTAGGAAGAACAGGGATTGTGTTTGGTTAAGGTGGAAGGTGGTAGATGGGATGGTCAAGAAAAGCCTCCCAAAAGAGGTCACATTTGAACAGAGGCCTAAGTGATGGGAAAAGGGAACCACATGAAGATCTGAGGGAAAAAATGACCAAAGTATGGAGCATGGATAAAGTGCTGAGTCTGCAGTAAGGCTGAGTGATCAACAACCACCAAGAGGCCGCTGTGGCTGGAAGGCACAGACGAGGGGAGACGTGTCAGGAAGTGAGACCAGAGATGTGGGCCGAAGCCAAAGCCAGAGCAGGTGGATGTTATGCAGACCACAATCTGCTCTGGAAAGACATTGGAGACATATGAGCAGGAGAGGGACGTGATCTGCTTTATGCTTTAAAAGACCGTTCTGACTCCCATGTGCCATCATGAATGGCTTCTAATAGGGCCAGACAGGAGTGGACAGGGATATCTGGTGGGAGGCTACTGGAACAATCCAAGTAGAAGAGGATGGTGGTTTGGAATACGTGTTAGCAGTGGAGTTGATGAGAAGGGGTCAGATCCTTATGGACTTTGAAGGTGGAGCCCATTCACAATTGTTGCTGGACCAGATATGGGCTACAAAGGGGATGTAGGAGTCAAGCATCACTGATTAGTTCATTGAGAAATGTACAGGGCCTGACACAAGTACCACCCCTCTTTTATTACAAAATCTTTTATTATAAAATCATAAGCATGTCATTCTGTAACATAACAATATCACACTCAAACACACCATATGACATTTTAGGTGAAATGGTCAGATTAAAACTAAAATAATTACCCCCATATTATTACCTTACCAACTACACTCATGCAGGTGTTAGTTCTGCTGGACCCTGTACTTACTGAACCCTTATTGCAGACTAGCCTTTGTTCTGTGTGCTTGAATGTATACCAGTGAGCAAAATAATCAAAGATCTCTGCCCCTGAAAAGCTTACATTTTTGAAAAGGGAAAGACAGAAACAGAAAACAAAAGTAAAATATAATAAATTATAATGGCATATTCAGAAGATGATCTATATTATGGTAAAAAATAAAAATAAAAAAAATAGAGCAGAGGAGGAGCCCAGGGATGGGAGCAGTTGCAATTTTAACTTGGGAGGGCAGAGCAGATCTGTTTAAGAAGGCACCTAGGTTTTTGGCCTGAGTAGTTAGATGATTATGCTATTTAATGAGATGTCTGAAAGGAATAAATAAGTAAAACTGAAGAAAGGAGCAGGCTGGAAGTTTGGGCGGTGTAAGCAAATTGTTGCTGTCCTTTAAGTCCTAAGCTTGAGCTGCCTGTTAATGAAGATATCCAGGAGGTAATTGGATATTCAAATCTGGGCCTCAGAGAGCGGTCACAGCTACCGATGTAACTTCCAGAATCATCAGAGCCTAGAAGGTCTTTAAAACCATGAGACCAAAGGAAATCTCTAAGGACGTGAGTATAGCGATTGAAAAGAGAGCCAAGGACTCCTGGGCTCCCCCAGGGGAGGAAAGAAATGAGGAATTAGCAAAGGAGCCGCAGAAGGCCAGTCGGAAGGCAGGAGAAAAACGAGGCGTTGCAAGGCCGTAAAAGGAGAGCTGAAGAGGGGAGAAAAATCAACCATGTCCAGAGTGTCAAGTAAGATGGTGAATGAGCTGGGGACATGAACAAGACCTTTTGTACAGGCTACTTCTTGGGCAGCAAGTAATCAAGTAAGCCCATCGTTGCCATTATTCCCCAAAGCGCTGCAGCAGGTACAGATCCTGGGAGACTGAGTGCCACACAAGAGATCATGTCTTTAATTTCACAGGCAGTGGGGATTTAGGTATGATATTTAAGCAGGAGAGTGACGTGCTGTATGTAGCTATTTCACGTAGATATTTTGGGGAACAAAAAGGAGGATGGGATTGGGGCGGAGGGTAAGAGGTAATAAGCTAGTAGGAAGAGTGTTTTGGTGGCTGAGACACGAGGTGGGGAGGCATGAACCAGAGGAGAAACCACGAGAATACAAAGGGGAGGGCAGATAGGAGAGACCTCAGGAAGGTAGGTTTGACAGCATTTGATAAAGTGCTGGGGGCAGGGAAGTTATTGAGCAAGGAAATATTGAAGATAACTCTTGGGTTTGACTCTTGGGTAACTGGGGGAACAGAGCCCACTGTGGAATTTGCTGGGAGATCAAGGAAGGGGCTGACAGATTAACCAGTTTATGGATTAATTATTAAGACACAGCAGGGACCTGGGAGCTCCCCTCCTCACTAATTAGTTAGCTGGTAATTAGGCAGTGGCTGATTAATACTATTGCCTGCCCCCTGTGGTGTGGGAGGAAAGGAGCTGAGCCACCCCCAGAGTTGCTGTGGTGCATAAAGGAAGGGGAACTTGGAGCCTCTGCCATTATATGACATCCGCGCCCACCCCCCGCCACCGCCCCACTCCTCCCAGAAGCCCTGAAGGGGTATCCTTGACATCAAGCTTTCTCTTCTCATAACTATTCAGATAATCTTTGCCAAATGGAGAAAAAGGAGCAAGAGGGGGAAAATGTGTACCACGAAATTATCATTCTCAGTAGTAATGTTTTGCAAAAATGCCACGGCAACTTTCCTCTTCAAATACTTGGAATTTTATTTTCATTCATTGGTCAAGTGCACATCCAAGTTTAATTTTCCACTTTGGAACTATGACATGGGTCCTGCTTCTCCCGTCTCAGGCGTTTTTCCTCCTGAAATGTGCCTGTTCTAATATGAAATGAAAGTTTCCACAGGCTGAGGTAGCAGCTTAACGCTAAGTGGAGAGAAACTCGAAGTGGAATTTGGTAAACGCTTTTGAAATCTAAATTCCCCAGAGACCTAAGTCACTTTCATTCATGAAGTACATTCTGACCTCCTGCTAGAGCCATGTGAGAACTCAAGAAAGGGCTGTTTCACTGGAAGGAACACTTAAATCCCCCTTGCTGGCCCCCTACATGCCAAACATTCTCTGATATTTGAGTCAAATGCCAGTGTCAGTGTGTCTGTCTGAGACTTCATTAAAGACACCTGCCTCAGGCAGGCGTCCCGCATCTACAATGTTTCCCGTCCTTCGATAGACACACAACAGAGCACTTTGCAAAAGTAAGAAGAAAGGGCCCCGTGGAACCATTGGTAAGGCGTTCAACCCCCCAATTTGCAAATTGTGGAAACTGAGGATAAGAGAAGGTAAGTGACTTTCTTGTCATCCAGTTGTAACTCAAGTAGGAACCTGGGCTTCCGGAGGACGGTCCGCCTGCCTTGATCTCTAGTCTGAAGGAGGCAGTGACTAAGGGAGCGGGAGGAACAAAGTAAATGCCAGTGTCACCTGGAGGGTGAAAATAAGAAATTCCAGAGAGGTTGGGAGGAGGACAGAAATTATTGCAGAAACATAACTAGGCTTGAGTAATCCAGGGTCCATAACAATAATTCTCAAACTGGGGTGCTTGGGGCATTCTCAGGGGACTTACAGTTCCCATCAGAAGTAGTGAACATACATCTGTTCTGATTACCTGCTGCTGAATTGCAGGGATTTTGTGTGTTTGCCTGAGTGGCATGGCACTGTCCTCGTCAATGAAGGGGAGGCAGAAGGGGAGTTGACTGGTAGGTGATGTGTATGCGCTAATAAGGTGCCATGGTGGCACGATGATGTTTGCCGTAGTTCAGGGCAGTGGCAGGGACATGTTTACATGGCAGGCAGATGTAATTACCGCAGAGCACCTCCATCCGTTGCATGATGTTAATGCAGTTGACGACTACTAGTTTTGTATTTACTTTTTACATTTATTTTGGTTTCTGAATTCTATAAGGGCTATAAGCAAGAGCACTTTGCATGGACTTGTGTTAGTTTCATACATATTTAAGCAACATTGCAGCAAAAGTAATCTGAAACAATGCTGAAAGTCCAGGAGACTTTCTCTTTGAAAGAGCCTATGCATCATTCAAAGGTGTTGTACACCTCGACTTCCTTTCACATTTTCATTTAAGTTATGAGAAACTTGGCAAGAGAGATAATTCCAGTGGCATGAGCCCGTTTGTTCTCAGGTGAATTACTTAGAAGGACCTTGCTATGGGTGACACATGCCCTTCCTTCAGTAGGGGGCTATTCCCACAGACAATTCTAGAATCTAAGAGGCAATTCTTTTCCTTTTTTTCTTCCAACTTCATTTAATGTAGTTGATCATTCCACCTCTTGAGATAGTTTCTTCATTTCATTTTTTTTTCACTTTTCAATTAAAATTGACATTCAATGTTATATTAGTTTCAGGTATACGGCATAGTGATTAGACATATAACTTATGCAGAGACTCCTGGAAAGTCTAGTACCCACCTGGCACCAACATAGTTCTTAAAATATTACATATCTGTGACAATTTTCTAACTGCCAATTTGTACTTCTTAATCCCTTCACCTTTTCCACCCAGCCCCCCAAACCTCCTCTCTGGCGACCATCAGTTCTCTGCATCTATGAGTTTGTTTCTGTTTTGTTTGTATATTTATTTTGTTTTTTAGATTCCACATATAAATGAAATCATATGGTATTTGTCTCTGTCTGACTTATTTCACTTAGCATAATACCCTTTAGGTCTACCCATGTCGCTGCAAATGATTAGATTTCATTCTTTTTATAGCCAAGTAATATTTCCTTGTACATATGTACCACATCTTCTTTATCCAATTGCCTATTTGTGGGCACTTAGGTTGGTTCCATATCTTGACTATTGTAAATAATGCTGCAATGAATATAGGGATACATATATCTTTTTGAATTATTGTTTTGGGTTTCTTTAAAGAGGTAATTCTTACTATTGTTTTGTTACCTTTAGAAGCTAATTCTTTGTAAGATGTCTTGATATACAAGGTTGAGTGGCGAAAAAGTGTATCTTCTGTTTAACATGATGTAAGCTAGAGGTCAGCAAATTATATAGCTCTTAGTCTGAAGACTGTTTTTACTGATCAAGTTTTCTGGAAACTTAGCCACACCCAATTGTTTACACATTGCATATGGCTCTGATAGAGATATAATGGCCCATAAAGCCTCAATTCTTTACTATCTGGTAGGCTCCTGGTGTCTGCCTTCTAAATACAATAATTTCTGCACTGTGCTTTCAGCTTATGCACATTTCCGTTATCTGATTCTCTAAAGTGATTTAATTAATCTGTTCTGCTTTTTTACAATTAGGAAATTCTAAATGGCTGTTTCTTCGTGTAAGATTCTTTGATTTCTCTAATGAGAGAATCCAGCTGATTCTCAACATCGATTGCTGCTTTTTAAAAATAGGAAATTGGAGGCTGGTGAGATGCTGCTTTAATCATTGACACATACCTGGTGGAGCCGGCCCGAGGCTGAGCTGTGAATTAGATGCTGGTTTTCATCTGTCAGGCCTCCCTTGCTGAGCCTCTGCCTTCACCATGCCTTTCTCTCACCATCTTGGACTCCTTCTTGCCTCAGCCACATCAACAAAGCTCTGATACCTCACTTTTTTCTCCATTTAAATTCACATAGTTTGTTCACTTCCTATTTCCTCCAGAAGTAATTGCACTTGAAGCTTTTTATCCCTACCATGAAATAGAAAGCTTTGGCTTCTCTTAAAGATTTGACAGAGTTTTGAGGGAGATCGGGAGGTCAGAGGAAGCACAAAGAGGGAGGCTGGGGACAAGGATTTCCCTGGAAATGGCGCAAGTCCCCCTCTCTGACTGCATAGCACAGGGCCTCTGATCCTGAAGCTGCTGTGAAGATCAGTGCCCATGCCTCCCTCACCTCAATAGCTCTGGATCTTTAAAGGGATATCAGATTTAAAAAAAAAAGAAAAAAGAAAAATCTCTCCATATGGTTGGCTTATTTAAGACTAACACAAAAAGCAGAAGACTCGGATGCTATTTGGGACACTTGACTAGGGATGATTTCCTACTTAGACATGCCTAGGGAAATCATCAGAGGACTAAGGGGGTATGGTATGATTTAGGGACAGTTCCTAAAAAGATATATATTTACTGCTGAATGTGCTTTGCTGAAAGAAGGAAGGGAGGGAGGGAGGAAGGAAAAGAGGGAGGGAGGAAAGAAAAGAGGGAGGGAGGAAGGAAGGAAGGAAAAAGAGAATGAAACAGGAAAGAAAGGAAAGAGAAGGGGAGGGGAGGGAGAGAGAGAGGAGGGAAGGGAAGGGAAGAGAGAGGAGGGGGAGGGGAGGGGAAAGGAAGGGAAAGGAATAGAAGGGAAGGGAAGGGAAGGGAAGGGAAGGGAAGGGAAGGGAAGGGAAGGGAAGGGAGGCAGAGAAAAGAAATTGTTGTCGAGAGCCACCAAAAGGCCACTAGAGTTTTTGTTGTTTTTTTTTTTTTTAACCAACTTGGGCCATTCCTGACTGTGCTGGCGTTGCTCACCCTTCATCCTCTGAGGATTGAGTCAGCCACAGTGCACAGCTCTGATAAATGGCTTAACTAATATACATTGGTACATTTTAACATTGGTTTAAAATTTTGACAGACTCAGGTTTAAATTACAAGTGAATATTCCCCTCTTCTGTAATAAGTATTAACATGGTCAGCTTGCTGAGAAATATTTAGCACTTAGGGTTATCTTGTTTTGATGCTTGTCTATTTATACAAATTGGAGACCACTATATACCTGTATGAAGCCAGCCATCTCCACCAGATGGAGAATAACAATACCCGAACCACTGATGAGGAGGTGAGAAGGAAAGAGGCCAGCCATCACACCCGCTGCGCTGCTAGCCGAAGGGCCAAATTAGTTAGCTGAGCTGCAAAATCCCTTTCTTTGGAAGAGAGATGTCCAAACAGAATAAGAGCACATGTGGTCTATTTCAGGAAAGTGTCCCTTGACCTCCAGTTTCTCCAGCGGGTCAGCATGGAGCCCATCCTGCAAATAGCCTCTTTTTGGCTCCAAGGAGCCTAGCCTTACCCATTACACACACACACACACACACACACACACACACACACACACACACACACACACCCACACCTGCTTTCTAGAAACTTTGAAAAGAAACCAGCCTATGCCCTGTGTTTCACAGAACATTTTAAAGCCAACTGACTCTCCTGTTTCTATAGCCAAACTCAATCAGCAAGGCCTCTTCCTCCTCTGGGAGAGGAAGCAAGACCAGTGCACAGGCGTCCCTGCAGAGTCTTGGCCTTGCCTTGCTGCAGCCTGGGAAAGCCATTTCTCCACAGGGAGTGGGGATGTGGACCCCCAGAAGGAAGGAAGGGAGGGGGAGAGCAGTCGTGTGCTCACAGAGGTAGTCGATAGAGATGTGTATGGCTGCAATTGCCCATTTCTGCTTAAATGGCAAATCGGTCCCATGACATGAAGTTATTATGTAGAATGGATCCTGTTTGGAAAAAGTAGACTGTTAGTACATCACTCCATATATTGTCTCTATCATGGTGTGTACCAGGTACATAGGCACAAATACACATTTGAGTGAGTGAATAAATAATGAGTGAATTAAGACCAAAGACTCTGGAGACAGGCAAACTCAGGCCTAAATCCCAGCTTTTCCTGTTAATAGCAGTTAGCTAACTATAGCTGCACAGCACATTACCCTAAATTTAACAGCTTAGATTACTGTCTCGGAGTTGCTGAGGGTAAGCAATCTGGGCATGGCTTCAGTGGGTACCGCCGGCTCAGGTTCTCTTCCAAGGCTACGTTCATCTTGAGGCTGGGCTGGGGAGGGCACATTTTCAACTTTCCTCCTGTGCTGTTGACAGGCCTCAGATCCCTGCGACTCTTGGCCAGAGACATCAGTCCCTTGCCACTCAGTCTTTTCCTACAGGCTTCTCACAACATAGCAGCTGGCTCCCCCCAAAGAAAGGGATTCTAGAGAGTCCCCAGGTGGAAGCTACAGTGTTTCTGTTTGTTTTGTGTTCTTGAAAAATTTTGTTGTAAAACATATATAATAGAAAGTTTACTATTTTATCTATTTTTAAGTGTACAATTCAGTGTCATTCATTGCTTACACCATGTTGGGCAGCTATCACTACTATTCATTTCCAACACTTGATAATCACCCCAACAGAAACTCAGAACAACAGTGTTTTTTACAACCTAACCTCAGAAGTGGCATATCATTATTTCTGTCCTATTCTTTTGAAGTGAGTCACTAAATCCAGCACATACTCATGGGGAGGGGATTACAGGGTGAGACCGCCAGAAGGATGGCCATCCTTGGGGACCATCCTAGAGGCTAACTCCGTAGAAGCTATGTGACCTTGAATGGGTTTCTTAATCTCTGTAAGCCTCCATCTCATCCTTTGCAAAACAAGGATATAATCTACCTCATAGAACTGCAGTCACATTCAAAGGGGACACCACCAAACTTTTTGCTCATCAACATGAGATTAAATGCATGACCTTGAATCATGAAGTTCGACCACCTTGGACTGCGGATTGTGTCTTCCTACCTAGCCTCTTGGATTCTCCATGATGGTTCAATAACTGTTACATCTTTGAATCCTGACAGCAGGAGCAGAGAGAGGACAGAAGCAGAGGCAGAACCATAGAGATCTAGAATATGGCCCATAAATATTCATAGTATAATCTTTATGCAAGGCAGCACTTCCTCTAAAGAAGCAGCCTGCCCTGGACAAAGCTTAGCTCATGTGTTCTCATTGTACCGCCCCTGGGAATTGGGCCACCCCCTCCCTCAGTTGTTCATATTCACCACCAAGACTCTATCAGCGTTTACATTATGGTTCCCTCTCTTTCTTCATGCAAATTCCCAAACATCTCTTTAATGTATCTCTTCTCTTTCCTGGTGAGCTATCCTGTGCACTGAATAAGAAACAGTTCCTCTAGAGCTCTATGCTTGTGATTATGCAATGAGCAAGCAGGCTGCTTTTAAAACTATTCTTTAAAAATTTCCAAATGGCAATATATACACGTATTTCTGTTCTTGTCCCTCCCACAGCTCATTCCGAACACCAGCTAACAGGCATACTCTGGGATCACCGTACATTCCAGCTTTACCTTTATACTTCTTCTATAGTCCTGTAGGAGATCATTGATTTAAATCCATTACTTATCAGCTGGAAATTAATTCAGATGAATAGTCCATTTAAGTCAAAGGAGTGAATTCATATTCTGTGCAAAGGTTTCCAGTGATAAGTATTTTGGAAAGACTATTAAAAACTTTTGAAATAAAAAATAGTTTACTGGCTAATACTCAAATCCCAAGAATAATTACTGAGCAATGTTTTCCAAAGTGTGTTCTGTGGAATAAAATGCTATTTGTTTGCCCACTGACCAGAATTAAATCGATAAGCTCTAGGTTTAATGAGAGCATAGTGAAGCAGTCGTAAACTGCTGGCTGCTGGGAATTTAAACGAGGCTTGTCTCTTAGGAGTCAGTTTGGCTGTGTCTTTCAGAATTTAAAATGTACATACCCTATGGCCCAGAGAGTCTTTTAAAAATTAATCTTAAATCATCTTTGCACATATACAAGAGGATACACACACACACACACACACACACACACACACACACACAGGGAGTTTTATGGCAGTACTGTTTTCAGTAAGAAAAATGTAGAAACAATTCGAATGTTCGGCAATAATAGATCAGATAAATTATATGACATGAATTCATATACACGATAATCATATTTATAGATGTATAATATTATATGTATACCCATATTTGTTTGGAAGGACATGCATCAAACTGTTGATAGTGATTACTTTTCCTTTTGGGAAAGGAACAGGATTTTCTGAGGGATGAGGGGGTTGCTTCCCACTTTATTGTATATACTTGCATATTGTTTGAATTGTTTACAATTAGCAGTGCTTTTATAATTTCCATGCAACAATTTAAAAATTGCGTTTTAAACTTACTATAGAAGTAACATTTTTTTTTAAGCAAGGAAAGAAAAAGAACCCTTTGATTGCTCCACCCACATACAATTACCATAATCTTCCCTACCTTTTTCTACACATGTATTATTTGTAATGCAAGATGTAATTATTCCCTATTGACTATTTCGTACACTACTTATTTTAAAGTATATGATAAATGCAATTATTTCCTAAAGCATTACCTAATAAA